TATTTTATGCTCTTTACTTATTGCAATTGTGAACCTTCCATAATAAAACCTTCTCCTTCCAAAATCTTCTCCCTTTTTCAAAATCTTCTTCTTCCAAACTAGAACATTTCATAATAAAACCTTGACTTTGCCAAGTGATTTTCAAACTCTTCTTTAATAAATACTTAAATAATTTTCAAAAGACTTAAAAACTACAAAAACTCATTCAATCATTTTGCGCCTTTGTGAACCTTTTACTTTTAAACTTTTAATAAATTTTAGACATAAGTCATTTCCATAGTTGAGATGTAATTCTGTTATCCCCATAGTATAGATGGTAATTCTTTTCCACTTTGAGAGTTAGTGTCATACTTGTTGATTTTATCCAAGTTTGAGTCCTTCTCCTTGTGATGCAAAGTTCTCAATACTTGTGGGTGGTTAGTGGTAGTATTCTCCTTAAAAAGATAACTTGTCTTTTCATTTAAAATGAACCAAACAAATCATTTTGTTAATTTTACTACAAACTACAAGGTTTTGATCCTCCATTGCACTTTGTGAGTACGTAGGCACGAGACTCAGGAAGTCTTGTCAAACACAAAAACATTAAAAAAAATACTTCTTTTCTCACCTCCCTAATCTTTTACAAGCAAACCATTTTCAAACCAAAAAGCATAGATATTTCAAAGGGATCCTATGGAGTACCATAGACCTTTTAGGTGCTAACACCTTCCCTTTGCGTAACCAACCCCCTTACTCTTGTCTCTGTTTTTATTTGGTCTTGTTTTTAGAACTTCTTAGGGTTTTGTTCGTACTTTTTCTCTTTCCTTTGGAAATAATAAAAGCACGATGACGACTCTTGTTTTATGAGTTAAATTAATCAATAGTTTATACTCATAATTTTTATCGCTACAAAGAGATATGAGAGACGCTTGAGGTATACATGGATGATGTGATTGTGAAATCTAATCGGGAGGAGTTTCACGTCTGACACCTTCACTGGGTGTTCAATAGGTTTTAGTAGTATAACATGAGACTCAACCCGGAGAAGTTCACCTTTGGGGTAAGAGCCGACAAGTTCTTAGGCTACCATCTAACTGAGTGAGGAATCAAAGTAAACCTTGAAAAGTGTGAGTCAGTGATCCAAATGAGTTCACATGCATAAAAAAAAGGAGGTCCAAAAATTGAATGGTATGTAAACTTCCATAAACAAATTTATTCCGGACTGGCCCAATGGCTAGGCATGACCCAATCCATTTCTGCTTCCAGAACGGCCCAATAGCCTAAGCCCTTCCAATTAAGGGCAAAAGGAAGCATTCTCTCCTCTTCCTCTCAACTGAGGAAGACTGGCCAACTGACCCCCAGGATCAGCTACCCTTCGTCACAATTTTTCTCGTCATGCATGGTTCCGCCATACAGAAACAGTCACGACGCCCATGCCCGCAGCAACAGCTAGTTCCGAGCACCTATGCCCGTCCTAACGACTAGTTTATGGCAGTTACCTATTCTTGGGGAGCGAATATCTCGCACTGAAAATAGGGACCAATGGACAAGCACTGGGGGAATTATAAAAACCCTCTCATTTGAGAGGGTCAGGTATTCTAAAATCATCTTAAGACATACTCACTTTGTACTCGCCTTCTCTTCTCCCACTTCTTACTTTAGCATCAGAGTGCCTTGCAGGTACACCCCCTCCTCATCATTGAAACCCAGCATCGCAGACGAAGTCTCTGGCCCACTTTAGGTTCTGATCAGCCGGTAAGATCAAAATTCATTTCAAAATCCTCCCAACATATTTTGCCTTTCATCATGTCAATAACTTGCGATGCTTTGTCGCCGAGAATTTGTGGATTAACTTTTTGGAAAAGATTATGATAACTAGTAATGGAGAATCTGGAGAGGTTCATGTACTAGTGTAAGGTCACTTCTTTCCTTGTGCTTGATAAGAGCTTAGATTTGACAAAGCCATTTGTGAGGGCAAAGCCTCATATATAGATGTGCTAGTTTCGATGATGTCAAAAGTCAGCTCCATAGAAAAATATATGTTGGACGTTGTCACTATGTCGTATTTGCATGTCTTGTCTCTCATAATTCAAATGCTCGTAAAAATCATGATTGTTGCATATAGGGATAGCCAAATTTGTGTGCCATATAGGGTTGACTTAGTTGGTGTTTTATGCCATACTATAGGTTTCATCAAATATGTCGTAATGTATGAACATAGGCATTTTTTCCTGTTTTAGGGTTTTGAGTCGACCTAAAACCTGCTTCGGTCGACTCGCACAGCAAGTCATTTTAATGAATTAGTCTCAGGAGGGTTCACGTCGACCCTCCGGTCGACTCATACTGTGATCATTTTCATTTGGCTAAAATTGCATGGTGTGCGTCGATGCATGCTATGCTCCGGTCGACGCATAATCCTGATTTCTGCACAATCTTGAGTTCGGGTAAGCTCAGGTCGACCCCCTCTACTGCATAGGTCGACCGCTCGCTATTTTGTGTCAAAATTCTGTTATGTCAACTGTTTTTGTGAGTTTGTTTTGGTTGTTATGTCAGTTATGTTTGGTATATAAGTTGAGTTGCTCTTTCATTTCACAACAACTAAGAAAATAAGAAAAGTAAAATTACGTGTCGATTTGGTTCTCATCATCTTCATTCTCTTCATAGCATTTCACAACAATTACACATAATCATTTTTGTTGTGTATTATGCATGTTCGAAGTGATAACGTCCAAAGCCGAAGATTGGTTTATCTGGTTTGGGTTGATTAATCTACAGGTTTTTCTTGAATAAAACCATTTGAGTTTTGTCCTCCAAGATTCTCAGATTTTAGGGGTTTTTGCATGATTCGTTCCATCACATATTCAGCCGAGTGAAGGTAATCGAAGAGCTGAAGGTTCTGTCGGTTTAGTAACGGTAAACAGAGGATTGTGAGTGGGAGTTTCGGGTTCGACACGTGGGTAACTGAAATCAGCCAGGCCAGATTTTGAAGACCGAGGGTTGTTCAAAGAGAGTGCCGCAATCGAAGGTTTATTCACCGTGTTCGAAGTACTTGATTTAACTTGAATCAAAGGGCAAGAAGGAATAGATTCTACAACAACAAATTGTGTTTGATTGTTTGATCCCTATTTTCTTCTTGTATAAACATTGACCAACACGTTATATCTATCTATATACAGGTCTCAATTCTATTGGTAGAATTGAGGGCAGGCATACCCCGAGCGAGGACGACGGGGGAACTGCCTCAACAAATCGTTGTGTCTTTTTCTTTACGCTTATATTGCTATATTTCTGAGCTTTTAGTGCAAACGATTATATCAATCAAATTCTGATTTGAGTTACGCTGAACTATTTGTTAATCCAATTACAATCATTGATTGTAAGAGAAAATTTGAGCACTCAACTCTCAAAACAGAATTCACTTGTAGCACTCTGCACTCCAAGTGTTTAATAAATTGTGTGAACTAAAACATCTTGTGCTGTCTTTTTAAATTGTCAATATTTTAAAGGCATTGGAACTAGTCACACCTTATAGTGAACATAATCAAATTGAAAGTCTCCAAGTGTTTAATAAATTGTGTGAACTAAAACATCTTGTGCTGTCTTTTTAAATTGTCAATATTTTAAAGGCATTGGAACTAGTCACACCTTATAGTGAACATAATCAAATTGAAAGTGTGATTGACGTAGTGATTCTCATATCTCGTTTATCAGATTCCATAGGCTTAATGTATATCCGGCTTTCTAGTAACCGTTCGTTTAAGACGTGTATAGTTCCTCGACCGCTTCCGCTATTAAACAAATTTTAAAAACCATTTTTTTGGTAGCGCCGACTCTATTTTAAACAAGCATCTATTCAATCCCCCCTTCTAGATCTGCGTCATCGTTTAACACCATTCACGTATATAATCGGGATTTGGGTGTTGATGTCAGTAATGTGCTTTTTAGGGTCCCTCTTTCTGTTGAAATCTACTAGTGAGAGCAAATCTAGGACTAGGGTGTTCTAGATCTTAAGGGAGAGAGATTAAGGGTTTAAAGCCTTTTGATCATCTTGTTCGTCATCCTCTAGTTGTTGTTGTTGAATGTTTTGTACCTTATTCTGGAGAGTTGCATTATGACGATGCAACTATTTCATTGAGGCTTGCATCTTTGCTATGGCATCTGGATTGACAGTGCATAAGATAGTTTTCACCATTACCGAACGGTCATCATGCTACCAGAAATTCTTAAGATACAGTGTGTCTTATCTTAGTTTTATCGAGTCAGGTGTCAATTATATGTATTGTGTATATAGTAATATATCCCATATCAAAGAAGCTAGAGGTCTTTTCCGATGTATTTATAGATATATTGGCTTTAAGTCAACCTTTATGTTTATGACTTATATGTATTTTTTATGTTTTTATTTTTATTTAATGTCTTGTTCATTCTTTGTTTGGGATTCAAATGCATGATTTTTATTCAAATCGATTACATGACTTGAGACTGAGTCAACTTCTTGACTTAAAGTCATATCGACTTGTCTATATGATTATTATCAAGTGGGCGAATTTCTTCTTTAAAATATGGATATGGGACATCATGTTTTCAATTATACACATACGCGAAAATCTAAGTTTACATTTGTGAACAGCATTCTCATTTAATAAAATAGTCTATTAACTACTTTTATTAATCGCTAATATCATCATAATCTTCATTATTTTTATTATGAGCAAGACTTCTATGCGAAAAATCACAAATATTTCTATTTGGGCACACTCACAAGTTAAATTGAAAGAGAAAAGATAATTAATTTATCATTATTATTATTATTATTAATATAATAATATTTTCAATTTTTCTTTTATAGTTTATATGAGTCTACATAAATTTAAATCATTCGAATTTGTGACCACATAAGTCTTGCTCTTTTATTATTATCGACAGAATCATCATCATCATCTTATTATATATTGATAGAAGAATCATCATCACCACCATGATTATGATTTTTATTATTTTCCCTACTGATTATACTATAATTATGCTGGTGCAGCAGGGTATCCAAATGGTAATGGAGAAACAGATTTATCCAACAGATTCGAATGAAAGAAACCAAACGTACGCAGCACCTGGTTATCAGCAAAATTCAAAGCCCTCTCCATACTATTCCAGCAATCATCAGCACTATACATTGGATTATGATGCCCATTACAAGGCTGACACCCTGTAAAATGAGTAATCAAAGGTCTCCTCATGTCCCCCAAATCCTTAACATATTCCTCTCTCATTTCACCATAATGTTCACTAACTTTCTCAGCATGTCTCCTTCTCAACCCTTCCACCTTTTTTTCCACCTCTTCATATCTCTCGCCCATTTTATCATACATCTTTGAAATCTCCAACCAATACGCTTCAAAATAATACTCATTCTCCATGTAAATCTTCGCCGTCCATTTCTCTTCTCCCATCGCGATTATGTAAGCTAGCGCCGTTTGATCGTCTGAGTCAGGTACCTCTTTTGTTTTGAATATTGCTCTTTGTCTTTCCCCCCATTTTTCATATTCTGGACTATTTGGGCCCATGCTCGCTAACTCATCCATGAAATCCAACGACCATTGACAGTTTCTAATCAAGAAAACTCCGGCGTTTAGCCCCGTCCAGCTGTGTTCTTTCTTAACCAACTCCTCCCAACCGTGGATCACAAGGTTGTGATTCTTGTAACGGTTTAACGGTAGTTTGAACTCCATGTCGGTGAAGACTGCGTCTGAGTCGATCCACCATATCCACTCGACTTCCGGATGAGCCAACATCGCGGCCCGAACCACAGGATACTTGGCCCAGTAAGAGTTCATTTTGGGGTGCAACAATGCATTGTTGTAGACTATGTCGTAGTTGTGTAAACGACAGTAATCAACCTTATTCTTGAAGAACCGGAGTAAGAGATGGTCCCCGATGGGGTTCTCGCACATTCCCGGCTGCGAACCGGTTATAACGAGTATCTTTTCATCTGCTCTGGTTACAAATGAAGGATGATGGAGTAGCCACTGATTACGCTTCTCGTCCCAATTTTTCATTTGTTTGTCTATGGTGTAACATGTTTCTGGATCGTCATAGAATGTTTTGTCTGAAGGGTCATGTAACAAATCAGGAGAGGCTTTTGAGTTTGTGGTAATGTTTAAGGATTTGAGATTAGTGTGGATGGAGTTGAATTTGGGGTTGGTGTTTGGGATTGGGGTGATGAAAGAGGAGAGGCCCAAGATTAGAACAAGAGCTGACATTGCTCCTGCAAGAAAGATGCAACCGTTTGAGGACCATGGAGAGGATTTGGTTTTGGAACCGAGTTTTGCCATGGGTGTGTGAGAGTGATAGAGTTTGTATTGAGGTGACATTTTAAGAGTGGTATTTTTGTAGTGTGGCGTTGGTGTGTGAGGGTTTAGGCTTCATGATTACTAGTCCAATTGTCTATAGAAGTTTTGTGTTGTTTACTAGTCTAATTTTAGCATATTTTTCAATTTAAGTAACTGACTCATGTATGCAAGTGAAAAGTACACAAGCATGAACGAATGTTTTTGGTTTTAAGTAACATACACAGCCTGTAAGCGGTGGTGGTTGTCTGGATTGTATTGGTCGTCAACTTAGAAGAACTCTTATTTTCTTCACGCATTGCAATTCTTTCAAGGATACAAAAGTTGCCCTGGATAACTGGAATTAAGTACAGCTGTTCAAGGAACAATCTCATTTTCGTATACTATACAACTTACTATAAATTAGAAAACACTAATTTCTTGAGTTTTTGTGGATTATGAGTGAGTGATGGCAAACTTCTTAGTAGTATTTACGTATCATTCATTACACATCACCTTATGTTAAAATTGTTACAATTTGGAACAACAAAATTACTGGATAATAGAGAAATTAAATGTGGAGAGAGAGAATTGTAATTATAGAAAGTAACAGGGAGTGAGAATTATCATTAGTTTTCATTCATAATACTTCTAAAGAATATATAGGACCGGCTCAACATATAATGAAGCCTAAGATAGATTTTTAAAAGAAGCTTTTTAAACTAAAAGTATTATTTATTTAACATTTCATTTTGTGAGCTTTTTTTATGCAAAATCTTTTATTAAATTATTGTAATTGATTTTATTTATCATTTCTTTTTTAATTGATAATAAAGTCAATCTATTTATTTTTTATTGAGACATTGTTGATCTTAAATAAAATTTTATTAACTTTAATTTTGAAAATTTTCTCCCGACCATATAACAGTTATAAGAAGTGTTAATATTATTCTATAGGCAATATACACATTTGAAAAAAAATCAATTCTCTTTATATAATTTAATATATCAATGGATGTATCATTTTCTAATTTTATTATTATTTCTTTTTAAATTTGTAGTTTCATAAATAAACTTAATCCATCAATATCTATTTTGTCATTATGTTTTAATGATCATTTAAGGTTAAAACAATTCTCTTTTAAATTTTCAACTTTGATGAATTTTAACATCTCAATACTAAATAAAAAACCAAAATTATTACTATATATTTTAAATTGTTCAAATCTACTTTGAAATGAAGTGATTACTTGATCTATTTTCTTATATATAAGAAATAATCAAATTTAAATGATTCTTCAGAAGATTTTATAACTCCATTGTCAATAGTCTCAAAATATTGTTTCTTTCTACAAATAATATATTTTTTACAAAATTTTGGTTCTATATCCATCTTAAAAGTAATTTCTTTTGCAGAAATTATAGCATTTTGTAATCAAATTTTCCTATATTTTTCAATAAATAAAATAAGACTTTTCCATTGTTCTATAGCAACATCGATACGCATATCTTTTGATTGCATATTTTTACTAATTGAGTTTACTGCAAATAATATAACATACCAAATAATCATGCTTAATAAAAATTCAAAATTTTCAAGCTCATAAGTTGCTAAACATTTATCTTCACTTTTTTATTTTAGATTAATCGGTAATTTCACATAATTTCAATAAAATATCTCTTATTTTTAAAATTTGAAATCTCAAAGTTTTCACACTCTCAATACGACTTTCACATAATACATTTTTCACGAAATTTTGGTTCTATATCCATCTTAAAAGCAATTTCTTTTGCAGAAATCATAGCATTTTGTAATTAGTTTTTTCTATATGTTTTAATATATAAAATAAAACCTTTCAATTGTTCTATAGCAATATCAATACGCATATTTTTTTATTGTATGTTTTTAACAAATAATATATCATACCAAATAATCATGCTTAATAAAAATTCAAAATTTTCAAACTCCTAAGACCATCTTTAGTGCAGGTTCTGTAGTATTAAATTCTTTAATAGTAATGGTAGATATAAACAATATTGAAATAAGAATGACATGGCAGTAAGTGAATTAACCGTTAGTTTTCTGTAGCTATATAACCAACGCACACTATCAAATTTCAATGACTCTGATTATTATTTTATTATTATTTTATAATATTAAAATATAAAACGTGAGGTCAAATTTTGATTTTTTTACAAGCAATCATCGTTAAAGTAAAAACAACTCAAATTAATTATAAATTTTTTAAATCCTACAAACCAATTTGGGTCCACAAAAAGTATCTTAATTTATCAATTTAGTTTACTCCCACTAAAGATGTTCTAAGATGGTAAACATTCAGCTTCGCTTTTTTATTTTAGGTTCATCGGTAATTTCACATAATTTCAATAAAGCATCTCTTATTTGTAAAGTTTGAAGTCTCAAAGCTTTCACACTTTCAATACGGCTTCCTCAACATGCTTGTGACAATGATTTAAGTGTTAAGTTATCGATATGATCTTGTAAAATTTTTTATCTTATATATATATATATATATATATATATATATATATATATATATATATATATATATATATATATATATATATATATATATATATATATATATATATATATATATATATATATATATATATATATATATATATATATATATATATATATATATATATATATATATATATATATATATATATATATATATATATATATATATATATTGTAGTACTCAAAAAACAAGATGTAGCTTTAGAACAATAATTAACCATATCACAAAGTAATAAATTTAAACTATGACAACTATATGGAGTATAAAATGATATAGGATTTGATCTGACCTGATCAGGAGGGATCACGGACTGGCCACACTCCGTTGGGCTGTTATCTGTTCGCCGGGGTGAGAAAGAGGAGGGGGGTGTACCTGCAAAGCACTCCGACGCCCAAGTAAGAAGTTGGACAGAGAGGAAGCAATAGTACAGAAAAAGGGGCAAGAAGAGTTACCTGACCCTCTTGAAGAAGAGGGTATTTATAGAGAGACCCCAGCGCTGGGCCAACGGTCATTCGAGGTGGGCTGGACGACCAGGCCCAACCCTAATGACTGCTAGGGCTTACGTGGCGTAGTGAAGACCAGGACGTGGTCTTCGCCCTAGTTCAACCGCTCCTAGATCTCCGGAAAGTGAGTTTGACCTGCTCTTTCGGAGGTGGGCAGTTGGCCGATGACGTGTCCCCGCGGAGGGGAGCACGTGGAGAACGTGCGCCGAGCACGTTATTCTCCCCGCGGAGGGGAGCCCGGGTGGTTCCGCTCGACCGGCGTGGTGGACGACAAGAAAAGGGGTGTGGAGACGTAGCTTGTGCTCGGCGGCCTGCCCCTGCTCGTCTAGGAGGGCGCGTGCCCGGCGTGCTTGGTTCGCTTGTTGGGCCGCATGCGTTATTGGGCCTGCCGAGGTGAGGCCCATACCGGAACAGGAGCCCCCCAAGTCGAAGCTCTGGGGGGAGCGAGGACTTAAGGTCGTCGTATCTGGAACAGGCACTCGCACGAAGGGCTCCGGTCGTCGGCAGAACGGGGAGGAGGCAGGTGAAGGGACGCGACTGTCAGGTTGCCGCCACGTGTCTTGTGTTAAGCGGTCGTAGGGGCGGCTACCCTATGTCATTAATGAGCCTAGGGTCGCTTCGAGTCCCGCGCCGGGTTATAAATACGGAGGTCCCCGCTCATTCTGTTACTTTTCTCCCTGCTAATCTTCTATCGTCTCTGCTCGTCCGCCGCTTGCCGCCGATCGCCGCCGTACCGTTTGCTCTTTTCATCCGTCCGCCGCCGTTACAAGTGAGTTCCTCTTTTCCCTTCCTTTTTATTTCCGTCGTCTAACTGGAACGTGTGGTCGGGGCGTGATGAGCGCCCCGAGGAGGGACGCGAGTCCCGCCGCGTCTGGCGAGTTTTCCGATGAATGTCCCGGGGACGGTAGGCTAGTTCCGATGAATGCCCCGAGGACGGGGGCTTTCTCTGATGAATGCCCCGGGGAGAAGTACCTTCTCCGACGGCCGTCCCGAAGGGGGTGAGGGGTCGTTCTTTGATCCCCGAGGAGGGTAGACGGGGAGCGAGTGTCTGCTCGTCGCTTCTCGGCCTTTGTCGCCCTTTTACTTGACTTGCGGTGGAAGGGTGGATTTGATCCTGGCTATCGAATTCACCGATGTCCTCTGCTTTCAGGTGTAGATGTCGGCTCTGGTGCCGGGGATAATGGTTGAAGATAATGAACCTGAGGTCCCGGAGTATGACGACGAGCGTATCGCCCCGTCCGAGGAGTGGGCGGCCGAGGAGCCCCTTTCCATCCCCTCTTGCTTTGTGGCCGACTCGTCCGACGTGTACGCCACGGTCGAGGACACGCCGATAGGGGAAACACAACACTGGCAGGTGTACCGGCCAAAAGAGCATCACCGAATCTGTTCGCGATATGGGCGGAAGATGTTCCCGATGTATGAATTTTATTTTAAAGAAGCTCGGCTCCGGTTACCGTTTTCCGCCTTCCATCTGGGGCTTTTTGACTGGCTGCGTCTTGCCCCGTCTCAGCTGCACCCAAACGCTTTGGCTTTCATCCGGGCTTTCGAGGTGGTGTGTTTCTACCTCTCGGTGGAGCCGACGGTGCCGTTATTTTTCCGCATCTTCCATTTGCAGCGGCAGACGGTGCGAGGTCGCCACGGATGGGTCTCCTTCAAACAATCGACCAAAATTTTCAAAGCGTATAGCGATTCTGTTAAAGACTTCAAAAGTCGGTTCTACCTCGTCAAGCCGATCACGCAGCACGGCTCGGACACTCTCTTCGACGAGGGCGAGCGCACGGTAGATGGCCAGCGGTTCCGCGCGTGGCTTCCTAAGATACATCTACTGTGGACTGCGGAGCATTTCAGCCGAGGGACGGATAGGTATATCGTCCGGGCGGGGACCCTCGAGGAGAAGGACATGGCCGCCTATTTGAAAATAATTGCCTTTGTGCGGTCTCTCCCTCCATCGAAGCTGGTGACGCCCGACGGTCGGTATATCCTCGACGCCCAG